CAAGTCCAAAATATCGCGATAAATGATATTATCGAATACAATAACGACCTAATTTTATGCGAGAAAATAAAAATATATCAATTTACCATCAATGGTTGTCACTGAGTTTGTACCACGGTTCAATCCAAAACTTTTAATCTTTAGAACAGTGAATGACATTACCTGTGTCACCTCACAAACTAAAGGTGAGAATTTTCAAAAGAAAAAGTGTTTTATGAGTCAGTGGACTCCCCGCGCAATCACAAAGGTCCATTTTTAATATGAACATCCACAACTAAATATTCCTATGCAATGGATATGAAGTTTCTAATAAAAATATTTTAAATTTTTTTTTTATTAAATTTTATTTTTTATGTTTATGATATCAGAATGTAGATCATGGATCACTAAAATTTGGATCCAAGATCGATACAAATAATGGGTGTTTAAGGGAACCGGCATGAAAATAGTATGAGTCTGAGGACTCATAAAACCGGGTCCTTTTCAAAATTTCCAAAGGCCCCCATGCGTGCGCTCCATTCAAAGAGCGCGGCCAAAATTTTAGAAATCAATCCTAATATCCTTTCCATAGGCATTAATGGTTCCACCAAACTATTGGACAAAAATTCCATGTGACAGCACAGCTTGTGTCTCAATACTACTACTTTTAATACTACTATTTTTAAGAATAACTATAATTTGTCATGAAACATTAATCCTAAGCATTTGTTTGATTGGTTTCCAATCAAATGACTCTAACCCGGTTGTCTCTTTTGTCCCATTTTGTTTACTAAGGAGAATATAATATGGATTATAGACATGGATGCATGTGTCAATGTTTAAAAAAGATGTGAAAATGTCAATTTCAATATTGGTCTTTCAGGCATTATGTACCTGTGTAAAAAATAAAATGTGCCATAGGATTTTAATAGGGGTGAGGTTTGTATAACGTGTGATACCAATAGGCGATATGATAAGAGAGAGTAGACATAGGTGGGTTGGTCATGTACGACGCATATCTAGTACAACATATGTTAGGAGGTACAAATTAGTTAAAGTAAATGGCTAAAAAATAGCAAGAAGTAGGCTTAAAAGGACATGGTTGAAAGTAGTGTGAAAAAAGATAGAGACTTAGGCCCTCACTGAGGGTATGACCATTAATAAGAGTGAAATACCATGATTCCTGTAGCCGACTACAATTAGTTGGAAAAAGGTTTGACGACGACAATGATGAAGTTTGTATAAATGACGTACTGTTAAAGTAAGGTGTACCCCAAAACTATATTGTAAGATGCAATTTCGGTGCTGGAAAACCTTTTATGGGATAAAAATCTATGGTCACCCTTACCTATGAAATTTAAAGCTCCAAAACTAATGTAGATTAACCAGATCTATAAGCAATTCAATTTTTTGAAAATAGACAACCCGATAACGAATTACAAGATTCACTATTCTCATGACCTGAAATCCTAATATTTTTTTTTTTTTTTCTATATTAATATGTCTCGAGGTTGAGATGATCACTTATTGAGGGTTTTTTTAATATCACAACAACCTTTTCTTATTGAGATGATCACTTATTGAGGGTTTTTTTAACATCACAACAACATTTTCTTATTGATTTTTGAGGTATGCTTTAATTCAATAATATAAGGTTGACAACTTATATAAATTTTTTCCTTTTAAGAGATATTATATTTTTATTGAGATTAAATGAAGATGTTTTTATTTTTGGATAATTCAGTAGGAAACACGTATCTCTACTAATTTTTTCAAATAGATTAAAAATTAATTTTTTTAATATATTAATGAAATAGTATAAGTGGTGGGAATGAAAATCACAACGTAAAAACTAATAAACGGGGTGCTACCCCACCACCCAACGCTTTTATGAAATATGAGGTGTTTAAGTTTTTAAAGTTTTACATATTAATATTGTGTCATTAATGCGTGACATACCACGCGTGAATAAACCCACTAACACATGCATTCATGTTACTTTGACTAATGCGCACTCTTTTTTGCTACCTCTGTTAGATCCATGAACCATATTCTCTAGTGACCCATTTTTACAGCTCAAGCGTCTTCTCCATGCGCCCTTTCCCTGTTCCACGTTCCAAATTTGGGTTCATTTTAAACTAAAATATCTCAAGTTCGAGTTGACACGGCTCTCCAAAACCGGGCTTTTTTTGGCAAATTTCATAAGATTTTATATCTGTAAAAGGATCACTAAACAGAAAAAGCATTTTGTTTTTAATTGCATTTGGTATTTCAATGGAGAGAGGGATTTGTCTTTTGGATATTGAAGAATCATGGTTTCAATATTCGTTTGGGGTCATATCAATGGAATATTTTTGCAGATAGGTTTGATTATTTTATAGAGAATGTAGGGAATAATCAGCCAAAGAAGGGAATAAATATATCCTTAAACTTCTTGCTATGAATTTTATTTTTTTTTATTTTTTTTAAGTTCACTTTCAATTTATCTACTATGGATTCTTTTGAGGCAAGACAGAATTTGGAACCGGTTATTAAAATAGTCGTGGAGCTGACTTAGAAGTTACAATTGTCCGGGTCGGGTCATAAACAAGGGTTTTGAGGCCCAATATGGTATCGATCAAGTAAAACACACTGGTTTATGGAAAACTAATTTTATTGGTCTCAGAAGGGACATATGATGGTGATTTCCAAACAAACAAACAAACTCCTCGTCGTGTCGAAATCCCAGTGAACTGGAGCTGCCCAGTTCACTGCAACGACTCATGTGATTCCCAAGTCCCTCGGGTGATATTTTTATGGTTTTCTTCTGTTTTCGAGGGGTTCCTAGTTTCACAATTATTTTCCATCGTTTTTTTCCTTGGAATGGGGAAATCGAGTCAGTGTCGGCAATCCGATTCAGATGGATGGGTGCCCGAGTCGATACTTCGATTTCAACTTTTGAAACATTGTTGGGAGTGTCTACCATAGATTATACATCAAATAACGCACACCACAAGGACACCAAATACTCACTCAACGATCTCCAACAAAAGGGGCTAAACCTTATGGCGTGCATCACGCTCGGGTCACACTATCCTTTAGGTGTGTTTTTTGTATGTATTAATTTTATTCGAATAACGGATAATGCCACAGGGTCCCAAACCAAGGAAACAAAAATACCTCACTGTGTCTCGGGCCCCAAAAGGAAAACATTTTGTTTGCCAACAGAAAATACGCTATTATGTCTTATACTTAGTGGTATTTAATAGATGTATTATATATTGGGTGTGGTTCATATAAGATTGCAACTTTAAACAATCCAATTAAGGCGCACCTCCAAATTTTATTGTAACATGTAATTTTGTCGTAAAAAATTCTTAGGATTATCTTAAAATCAATTTTCATATCGAATTAGAAAATGTTAAACTCCAAAAATAGTTAAAATCAAGGAGATCTATGGAAATCTGAAAAATGGACGGTCTAGATAATGTGCTGCAAGATGTACTATTTCTTAGACTCAAAAACTTTTTTTTTTTTATATTCATACATCTCGATGTCGAGATGATCAAATAGAGGGTTTTTCAACAATAAAACAACCTTTCCGATAGATTTTTGAGTTGCATAAGTAATTCGACATTTTAAAGTTGCAATTTTATATAAACTTTTCCCTTATATATTTTGTTTATTAATTGTTTACAAAGAAACCATTTATCTTTTGTACATAGGGGCCACAATCACTTTTATCTATTAAATTTCAAAATGGATAGTTGTAAGAATGTCATTGAATAGAAACAAAATTCCAAATTTTTTATCCCAAACTTCATAACTCCTCCCAAGCCATCCAAATTGGTATCTAATGAGTAATACTAGTTGTGACCTCTTTATACAATAGGTAAAGAATCTATTTGTAAATAATCTCTTTAGAAAAACAAAATAAAATGATCAAAATACCCATGAGAGTTTCAAAGGGTATTTTGATCATTATATTTTATCAAAAAATTATTTGTAATATTTTTTTTCAGGTATGCCCCATTAAGAAAATGGTACATATCAAATTTCATATTCATATAATTTATAGAAAAAATTTAAAAATAAAATACTTTGATATGTCGAATTCAGATCAAAGCTCACTTAATCTAAATTGGATGGTTGATAAAAGGGTGTGGTTTGTATAGAGGAGAGGCTCTAAACAATTAAAGTAAAGTGCACCTTCAAATAGTATCGAGAAATATGGTTTCAATACTGAAAATATCTATAATATCCTTAAAATATATTATAATATCTAATTATAAAATTTAAAGTTTCTAAAAGAGTGTAGATGAAGCACATTTATGAAAGAAAACTTGAAAATTTTGAAAATTGACGGTCCAAAAATGTATTACAAGATACACTATTTTTAAAATTTGTAATCTATTTTTTCCTCAAGTATAGACATCTTGATATGTCAAGATGATTAATATGGGTACATTTGATCATCAAAACAACGTTTTCTAGTAAAAATGTTTGAGGTGGGTTCTAATTTGATTGTTTAGGGCCTCAGCTCTACCAAAACTTTATCCTTAATAAAAAGCATCTACGAAAACATCGCCGAGTAACACGTAGGCCGCGGAAAAGAAACGAGAAAAGTACGCGTCAAAGATAAATTTTGAGAGCCGCTATAAGTCCCGATCTGACAATTGCTCGTCCTCCATAATCGTCTGACACATGGGGCCCAAGGAAAACGACACGTATTCATTCGAATGAATGAGGAGTTGAATAGAGCTCTAAATGAACACGTGTCAATCCCACAGTGGATAGCGGTGAGGAGACGTGTCTGGTAAAATAGGGCTATGCGGAGGAGATCGAGAGATCGGACGGTCAGGAATTGCCAGACGGAAGAATGGAAAACGAGGGTGGGAGCCGCCTGGCACGAGGTTCGGGGCACGTGTGGGAATACGGGTAGGTGTGGGTATGTAATTCTCTCTCTAGGATTTTGACCTCTTTCTCACTCTTAATTTGTGATTCTCTCTAGGGCGTTTCCCCTCTTTCTCACACCCATTGTTTCTCTCTCATCCTCTTGCGCGCTCTCTCTCCAGCGGATATATTCTCTCTCTAGGGTTTGCCTCCCTCTTTCTCACTCTTCCTTGATTTCATTATTTTTCTTGGTTTTGCTCTCACCGTCACTCTCTCTCTCTCTCTACCTACCTCTGTACGTCGTTGTGTCTCTCTTTCTACCGACGCTTTGGTGGCTCTTCTTGCTTTCAAATTTCATCTCTCTCTCTCTTGTTTTCTGTCAAGACCTGTCTCTTCTCTCTCTCTCTCCTCATTTTTACTCTCTCTCTAACTAGTATTTGTTTTCTCTTCTGTCTCCCTCTTTCATATTCTGCTTCCTGTGATCGTTCTCCTGTTTGTTCACTGTCACGGTAGGAGCTCGCTTCGTGCCTCTATTCCTTTGCCCCCTTCTTTTACACTCGTTAATTTTTATTTCTGTATCTCTCGTTTCTCTCACTGTAGCGATCTCTCTATCGCCGAAAGTCCGGAATCAGCTTGTCTTTAACGGAAAACGTTTTTCTGCGATCTTTTGATACGATTCTCTGAAAATTGGTGTTTTGCTGGAAATGCTCTGAATTTCAGTAAATCCGGTGTTTTTTGCCGGAAATTGCTATTGTTGCCATCAATTTCAATTTATTGGACAGAAATTTATGTGCTTTGCTAAAAAATCAGGTTTTTCTGGTCGTAGTTTGTTTTTCTCAAGCAAAAACTGTTTCGTTAGTTTTTATTGATTCTGGCCGGAGTCAGCTCTCGTTTTCTATAAAGTCTGGTTTTCTTTATCACAATCTGCACTGGTTTTCCTGAAATTAAATGATTCCTAAATTACTTTGACGGAAATTTTCCGGTTATTAAATACCAGATTCTGCTCTTCTTGGACGGGAATCCAGTTTCTGGTCGGAGTCTATTCGCTACTTCACCAGTAATCGGCTTTCTCGTCGGAAAAAGGCTTTCTCACTTGCTTTGAACAAACCAGGTCCCAGTTACACCCTAATTCTCTACTGATTCATTTCTTGCTCTTGCTCTAATCCGCTGCTTTTCATACACCTTAAAATCCAAAATCTACCATCCATTGAATCTGCTTCATTTCGCTCCTGTATTTCTTTCACTCTGGTTCAGAAATCCACTTGACATTCTGCCGGAAAAACACTGATTTTCACCGGAGACCGCTGTTGCCGGAAAACGGCTCATTGCCCGAAACTTTTTTGCTGTGGTGTCTGAACCTGCCTTGAACTTGATTCCAAATCACATAAAAGGACATCTCCCATCTTTCGGACTGGAGGAAAACAGCTCTTCTTCGCCTGAAAGCCGCACTTGTTTACCAGAAAACCGCTTTTGTTGGCCACAGTCTGGTGTTCGACTGGCCGGAATCCGGTGCTTAGTAGCCGGAATCTCGTCGAGGATACGCAGGAAAAAGAGGATGAATATGGATTGGTGGCAAAAGATGATCTTTCCCGTGAGAAGAGTATGGGTCGCTGTTGCCGCACGTGTGAGATCTAGAAGAAACGGTGAGTCATTTTTCTCATTTATGTAAGGTTGAGGCCCTACACAATCAAATTAACGAGCACCACAAAAATTCACAAGAAATTTTTTTTGCCATGCTGAAATACCCTCAAATCTGATCAACATGGAAGTAAAAAAAAAAAAAAAACTTCAAGAGTCTTAGAAGGAGTTCATCTGGTATTGTATTATCTAAACTGCCATTTTTTCTAGATTTCTCTCAGTGTTCATAAATCTACACTATTTTTAAAAGTTTTAAATTTTATAATTAAAGATAAAAATAAATATTTAGGCCATAAATATTTTCGGTACTCAAATAACATCTTTCAACACTATTTGACGGTATATCTTATTTCGATTGTTTAGAACCTCGGCCTTATACAAACCAGACCCTTATTTTAATTATTTATTATATTCTCTCTCTATTTCCATTTCCATCGAGTACCAGACCCTTATTTTAATTATTTATTATATTCTCTCTCTATTTCCATTTCCATCGAGTAGAAAAGTCTGTGGTAGCAGCAGGTAGTTTTATTTCCTTATTTTCTCAATTAGTTCCATTTCTGGTTAGATTTGGGTTTTCACAAAAGAAGATAATGCACTTCTTGCAATGCAATAGAATTTTCATAATTCATAAGTTACCTTGAGAAATGTACATTAACATCTCTCATAATTAGTAGTATTTAAAAAAAAGAAAAAGTTTATAAAAGGTTGCAAGAATTAAAGATGCACTTAAAAATCTATCGGAAAATATTCGTTTAATGTTGAAAAGACCTTGATTATTTTGATGTGTATATATATATATATACATATATATAAAGATATTTTGAGTCCCATAAATAGTGCATCTTGCAAAGCATTATCTAGATGTCTATTTTCAAGATTTTCATTTGTTTATAGATCTACTTAGGTTTTAACTATTTTTAAAATTTAAAATTATATAATTAAATATAAAAAATAGATTTTCCGATAATCTCATAAAATTTTCACACCAATTATGATAAAATCTGATGTTATGATAAAATCTGACGGTGTGACTTAATTGGATTATTTAAGGTTGCGACTTTATAGAAACTTTGCACAGTAGAGAATCAAAGCATCCGCAATTATTTATCTGTTTCCGCTTTGATTCCATGTGAAGATAGAAGTATAGATCAAAGTAGTGTCCGTATCGTTGTTTGCGGTTCGGAGTTTTAGCACTAATTCCAAGTTACACTAAAGAATCAAAGCATAACGAATTATCAACTTCCGCTTTAGATCAAAGTAATATGGAACTGTGAGTCTCATAATGCTGAAATGGTGGATCAAAGTCATTTGGAGTTATTTTAGGAAAATGATAGGCCAAAATCCGAAACTAATAGTTTGTAAATGAGGATTATTTTAGAAAAATGAAAAATGCGTTGAAGTGCACGGGGGTAAACTATACGAGTGTAAAATGGAAAATATTGGAGATATTTTTAAGGGATTGTATACGAAGAAGTCATAATCATTTTTTTAGCCATTAGATAAAAGTGTTTCATTGATTTTGAACTTCCCAAATAAAAAGTAAATAGTATATACTTTTATCCATTGGTACGTCCCAAATCAAAAGTAAATGGTCTATACTTTTCTCCATTGGTACTTCCCTATACATCCAATAATGGCTTCCCAAGTCTAGATCCATTCCTTTTCATCGAAAGAGGGATCCGGATCGTCTGACGGGAAATGGTTAGATCTGCACCGGGTTTGATCAAATAATTTTTCTATTTCTTTTGTGACAAACGATGGACGGCTGAGATCAATGCAACACGTGTTGTTGTGACTATAGGGCATAACTTACTTTATTTTGTTTGATATACATTACATCGTATGAAAGGTACGTTGTGTAGAGTCGGACTCAGGGTCTGATTGTTTTAGACACGTGTTTTTTAGTTCTTGGACCGACTTCCTGCTCTAGTTTGGGATCCTATGTCACCAAAGTAAAAATTGGGTTAAAGTTTTTGGAACTTTACTCTGTGGACAATGTTATATAAAACTAGATATGATTATTGCAATAATAATTTTGAAGATGGTAAAATTTTATCTCAAAATTAAAGTAAGGTTTCATTTTCCATTTAGATTTATGCTTACCCTAGATCGGACCAGACCACCCGGTTTGACTTGACTTGTTAAACCACCAAGCATTAGCTTGCTTGGGCCAAAACTAGGAACATGTACGGTTGAAATCACTCAAAATCAAAATTTGAATGAACGAAGATTTGAATGACCTTCGTTCATTGGATGGGCTGGGTTTTGTCCTATTAAATTGGCTAAACGAAGTTAGTTCTTTAATCTATTTCTTAGTTTTAAAGTATTTTTTATTGGATTTTTTTTTTTAAAAAAAAAAAAATCTGACCAAATCGGTTCGATTAGTAATTAGACGAAAATTTGGCTTAATAAGGTCCCTATCAATTTAGATTACTATATTTTTATTAATTGGCTTGTTAATTATTTCAAAAACGAAATCTGTATTAATTGGCTAGAGTTTTTTTTGTCTTGTTTTGAGTTTTTTTTATATAGTTTTTGCTAAATTATCATTTGCAAGTACTTTAGCATATTGGAAAAGTCATGCTAGCACTCTAGTTTACCATGTTGGGGTTTCCATTCACACCCACACCCACACTTAAAAAAAAAAAAAAAAAGCCTTAAACTATTTAAAACAATATGAAAGGCCCCACACTAGTAAAATTACTGTCGAATGGGTTTTCATGTGAAATTTATTTCTATTGGATATGTTTACATGTGAAATTCTCTTTCTATTGAATGTATTTTCGTCTGAAAATCTCTCTCTATTGAATGTCTTTTCATATGAAATTTTCTTATATTGGATTTATTTTCATGTGAAACCTTCTTTTCATTGAATTCTTTTTCACTTGACCTTATCAGGTGCAGGCCTCTTAAAGCTCCACAATGATGTTCAAACTTGTGGGTATGAAGATGTACAGGTCATGTGGGAAATGCTAAGGAGGTCTGAAACGGAGATCTCACGACCACGCAAATGCAAACGATCCATTTGGAGGATCTTTGTATGGTCCAATAGGCCTTCGCCCCTGACTCGCGTATGAGGAGGCGGTGTCTGAGTACGACACGGTGTCTAAGCTATATAGAGGATACGGTGTCTAAGTTATACTGAGAATTATACAGTCTGTTATGTATATATTATGTGTATCTACTTGCATGTGTATGTCCTTTGCCCTTGTGAAAAGGAGAAGCTTCCGGTTTCGACACGGGTGAAGTACGGATGTTTTTTTTTTTTCGCTTTCGAGATATAAGATGTTGTATCTGGCGATAATGAGAAGAAAAATGAAGGCGTGATTTCACGATTTCACCCTTTGAAGTGTTCATTAAATCAATTAATTATTGTCCCAATTATTACTTTTGCATTGATTCATGCTTGGGGTGGGGTGGTAACCCAAAGTCAGGTTGGTGAGGCGGGTTGTGTTTGGGCCCGACCTCACATTTCAGGTCCGAGTCTAGGTCCAACTTGAACATGTACATGGTATTCCAATTATTGTTTTTGCATTGTTTCATACTTGGCGTGGTAATCCCTTGATCATTTGGGCCCAACCTAGCATAGGTTCGAGTCCAGGTCCGGCTTGAGCATGTTCATGGTCTATTTTGAATCTCTCATTCACTTAGTATTTTTTTTAGTATAAGATTGGAATTATTTATAAAAACACCATATATCTTTTGTACATGAATGTCACAATCATTTCCACATTAGATGACAAATTTGATGGTTTGAGGTGAGTCACGAAGTTTGAGATTTTTTTTTCTTGTTAAAGAAAAAGATAATTTTTTTAGATCGTTTGAGGTGAGTCACGTAGTTTGAGATTTTTTTTTTTTTGTTAAAGAAAAAGATATTTTTTTTAGATCGTTTGAGGTGAATCATGAAGCTTGAGATTTTTTTTTTCTTGTTAAAAAGAAAGAATTATTTTGTAGAATTTTGTGTCTATTCATATGACACTTTTATAAGTTACAATTATCTATTTTGAAATTTTTGAAATTTAAGAGAAGAATAACTTCAATGTACGAAAGATAAATAATCTATTTATAGACAATCTTTTTTTCATATACACATC